CGGCGGTGTCGGGAGCGCGCCCGGCCCGGAGTCCGAGAGGCGAGCACCATGAGCGGCGGCGAAGTGGTCTGCTCGGGATGGCTCCGCAAGTCCCCCCCCGGAGAAGAAGTTGAAGCGTTATGTAAGTAGAGCACGGCCGCCGCTCCCCTCCCCGGGCAGCTCACGCGCGGGCTGCTGCTTCCACTTAGTCCCCATCCCTTTCCCCTGGGCCCCTTCCCCGGCAGGCTTGGGACCCGGGCTGCAAGCTCACTCCCGGGCCTCCGCTTGGCCGGGCACCTTTCTTCCTCCAGATTCCTGACATCCGCCCATCGGAGGGCCCGGCATTGCCAGCTGAACGCCCGTTGCATGTTTTTAGTATTCTTTTTAGCAGGGGTGAGGTGGGGGGAGAGCATTCTCCTTTCATTATATCTGCATCGAATCCTTCAGGGCTGCGGTCCAGTAAATTTCCCGCACTGGGAAAACCGCGGAGGTTTTTGAACTCACCAACCCTCTGTTCGGTCCGCGTTCCCTCCCGCCTTCCCCTGGAGTTGTTAGCGGGAAGCGGGCGGGGGACCTGGGAATTTGGCTTTAGAGACGAGCATCTCAGATCCGCGCACAGGGAAAGAAAAAAAAATATTACGCGCCCTACCGTTTGCCTAGCAGGGTTCACATTTTCGCGGTTTGGAATCAAGGGACATTGGAGTTTGGCCTGAGAGCTTTGGCAGTTTGCTGCAGGAGGAGCGCGCTGGGGGGAGCCTGGTGGCTGATGCTTGGACGCTTTGGACGCGCTGTCAAGCCCCGCAGGAGGGAACAGCTGAGGCCAGGCAGGATTTCTGTGTCTTGCGGCCTTTCCCAGGCCACCAGGGCTGCTTCATGGTATTTGAGTAATTGATACAAGATGCTGATTATGTGTTAAAACGTTTTAGCTGTTACGGAAAAAAATTCCTTGAAAGAACCAACCTTACTTTGATGGACATCTGTGTCCTCTTCACGGGTCTGAGAGCTTATCCCCTTCTCCCCCACTGGTTCTTTTGTCGCTGCCCCCTGCAAAGGAAAGAAATGACACTTTTGCCCTGGCATGTGGAGCAAGTATTTTTCTAGTAAAGTATGTTTCGGAAGCAAAACGCATGCCCTTTTAAATATAAGTTGACTACCAGGGGGGCGACACTTTCCAATGGAACCTGTTTCTTGTTAAAGGATATCTACACCCAGTAAGAGAGCTCGAGTTAATCCTATTAGTCACTGTTTGCATGCATAGAATCGAGTGAAGTGCCATATTTAACTTCACCGACAACTCACCAGTGAGTTTCTGGTTTTCTTTCTGCCAGAATTTGTTATAGACAAGTAATTCTCATTTAAGGACTTGATGCCACAAATCCTAAGAAAGTTCTCCAGAGATTTTGAATCCTTCCAAATCCTTCCTCTCCACCATCACAGTTTGCCTGAATGTTCTGGTAAATATGCTAACTTTATTCCAGGAATTGGAGAGAGGCAGTGTTTTTCAGCTGAGTTCTAAATAGGAGGTGGTATGTGTGTGAGAAGAGGGGATAGGGTGACCGAGAGATGTATTTGTTTTGAGAAGGCATGGTTTGGGAAAGTCATAGACTTAAATGACTGGGTTCTTGGGGGAACTAAAGAGCATGACATTAGCTGAAATAGGTAGTGATAATAGAGGTTTAATGTGTCCTTTAATGTGATTGGTTTATGGCTCTCAAAAGATGCTGAGCAGTGGACTAGGCACCATGAGGAAAAAAGCCATGCCTTTCAGGCTTGCAATTTAATGTAATGCAAACCAGGAAGAAAATCAGCCCAAAAGATTATGTCTTAACAGTGACCAAAAAACGGGGGCATTTAAGTTTTAAAAAATTTATGATTTCATTTGAGCATTACAATGTTTTATGAGGTTGGTATCATCTGTTTAACAGATGACAACACAGTTTGCAGAACCAGAGCATGCCAGAGGCCAGATATGAACCTAGATCTGCCCAACTGACCAGGCTTTAAAAGGGTAATGACACTCCCCTAGTTCATTTCAAGTGGCGCTCAGGCTGGGTCATCTGTCAAGGGCCTTTTTGTGAGTCGGTGGATGTTGGTTGAGCAGCATGCATGCCAGGAAGAGGCGGGCTGTGGATCAGAGGTGCAGGCTTGAAGGAACAGAAGCTGAGCCTGTGGAGAAGGAGCCAGCAACGCGGAGTGGTTTCTGATTGTGTGCCCAAGCTGAACACTAGAGGTGTTTTCAGAGATGTTTAGAGGAACAAGCTGAATGCAGCCTGAAACCATCGGAAGACTTTAGAGAGACAGCAGGGTCCCTCAGTTGTCATCAACAGAGGGAAGAATATGCTTACCAGCTGAGGAGGGGCAGGGTTTTCCTTGCCTGCCGGAGTGCTGGAGTTTTCTTTCCACAGTAGTGAAGTGGGTGGAGATGACCCAGGGAGACCGTGGGCAGGGTGACCATTAGAACTGAGAAGTCCAAGAGGGTGACTGGAGCCTTATAAGTTAAAATGAGGCTCGTCTTCTATTTACCCTGTCATGTTGGTTGCCCAAAAGATTTTGATGTTCCCAGGTGATTGCTGTTTGGCTGGGTATCCAATTTAGGTAATTTTTGTTAGAGCGCGCTTTGCCCCTCAAAAACAGAGGCATCTCCTATGCTTGTTTTGTTTTCACATAAAATCTTTATTTTCTAGATGAAAGGAAACATCGTTGGCCACCCAGTAGGCAAATGGTGCTTGATAATAGCTTTGAATGAAGGGGTTTGCTGTGATAAGATACCTCGGATGTGTGGGACTATCATTGTCAAATGTGACTTCAGGGAGTTTGTGCCTTGATTCTGCTGGGGAACATTTGGCCCAGGAGACTTGGACAGTTGTCTCGCTGTTTACAATATTTATAGGGTAGTCCAAGCATTGGTTAAGATGATCCATAAGGAGTGTCAAGAAATTGTTTCAGTTTTGTCTTTAAAGGCATTGCAAGTTATGGCCCCAATGCATCTCACTTACAATTCCATTTTATGTTTACTGTTTCATAGTCAGCGGCGTTGTTTTTGCACACTAGTGTGTTCATCTGATATGGACACTTTTCTTGAATTTCCTAAAGAGTGTGAAAGTGGCGTGAAAGAGAGGGGAAGACTAGTGAGTAGATTCTCTAGTCTTTTTGTCTTTTTTTTTCCCCCCTGTATTTATTTGCAAAAGAGTAACAACCTCTTGTCTGTGTTCCGTCCTCTGAATTTTTTCAAGTCTACTTAACTGGAGGTGAAATTTTTCATGCTTTCAGTCTTGCTACTACTGTGTTGCTGTTCTCATCCTGTGTTCTATATTAAACAGCTGCTTTTTTACTCTGTTAAGGACCTGAGTAGAATCATGTACAGATCAGCATCTTTAGAGTTACAGAAAACAAGTCAACTCTTGGTAGTATGCACTCAACAGTGGCGCTCAGATTTTTTTAAAGAGCTATTTAAAGAAAAAGCAGCCCTTTGAAATAATGGTGAAATTTTCATCAGGACTTGAAATTTTAGCTGAGATAAAATGTAAGTCTGAGAACAAAGGATTGCTTCAAGCCAGCTCCCATATCTCTTCAGGGAGAGCGTCCCCATGGCCTGCCCCAAGCCCAGACAGCAAGTTTGGACTCCTCCATGGCCCAGCTGTCCGCATGGGGCAGGTGTGCAGTCTCAGCAGGAGAACCTGCTTCTGAGGCCAGAGCAAGGTGGCCTGCTAGCTGTCAGCCGGCCAACTCTTGGGTGTGTAATCTGTAATCTGCACCCAGCCTGGGCTCTGGTCTTCAGCTGTCAGGGAGTAGGATGGTTCTTGTCTGGACTTCCAGAACCCAACCCTGGTTCTGGGAATGGGCTCAGAAACAGAAATAGCCTCTGCCTCTTGGACAGGGAGGGGGCACCTGACATCTTACTTGGCAGAGAGAGGAGTGGAGAAGGCAGAATAACAGCATCTCCTTGGTTCAAGGACAGCCCAAGATCTGTGCTAAGCATTACGTCCCTGCCCCATCATGTCCCTACAGCGAAGAGCACTGTGATGTCTGGAAGCTCTTCCTGCCCTTTTTTGGCAATTACCAGTAGCAGTCAACAGATTCTGAAGCTTTTGCTTACAGTGGCTGAAGGAGCATAATTATGCTGTTGAAGGAAATTTTTTCTTGCAACCCTAGCAGTGAACATTCCATTCAAATTTCTAATGTCTTCTCTTTACCTTTTCCAGGAAGGCAGGAGCATTGTTGCTCTTAGGAGCTAGCAATTACATTAAGTCTTTATGGAAGTTAATGATAGTTAATTCTTTTGTTGTACCTGGGCTTAGTGATAAGTACCAAACTCTCCACATAAAACTGGCTGAATCCCTAAATCTGATTGTTGTCTCTTGGGATTCAAATTTCTGTGAGGAAGGTGTATCAGTTTGGAAGTAGTTTCGGAATTCTGCTGTTTAAAAAAAATTTTTTTTGAATTGATCATCTTCAAACAGATACAGCAGTATGGCAAGAATTATACTTGGATATTCTGCTTGACAGCTGAATCGGTTATTTCAGTGTGTTTTGCCATAATAAGTCTGCTTTAAAAATAGGAAAGAAATACAATGGCAGAGCACTTTTAAGTCTAAATAAAATTGCATATTTTGTGGTTGACATGAAAAGCATGTAGATAAGGTCTTGATTTGCAGATTGAGGAAGTTTAAGAGGTGACTAAGTGCCAGCGCTCCTAGTTTTCTTACAGAGACACACACTAGCGGGGACATTGTAGCAGGTGGGTTACTGCTTTGTATTTGAAGGGTTTCGGGGAAATTGTGCTGTGGTGGAAGGAACCCTGGACCAAGTGTCAGGACCCAGGATTCGCCTTGGCTTTGCCGCTTCCCCCATGCTCTTTGGACCCTTCTGATCCAAAGTTTCCTTATCTGTAAAATGTGGAAGGGTGGGCAAGACATCTACATTCTAAACTCTCCTGCCATCTAATACTCCTCTTCTCAGATGTTTCATTGAAAGGGAGGGTGGATGAGAAGTTTCTCCGTAGGCCTCCTTCTTTGGGGAAATAAATCTTCATTTCTTGTTCATCTTAAATAATCTAGTGAATGTATTAGAACTGATTAGGCAGAATTCTTTGGGACCCTCCAGCCATCCCTTAATGAGATGCAGGCTCACAGAGCCCAGGGC